GATAGAATGTCGAGAATTGTTGATGCTGTTATTGCGTCCAACAGTGGACATACAAAGTACTAGCAATGTAATATACCTCTATCTACCTCTCTCTGCAATTTTCATGTGTGTCTTGATCTCCTATAAACATTTAAAGCCACCGGAATTACATGGCCGGTCACTTATTTGGAGCAACTGTACAAGGCTCCTCCACCCTCGACAGACGATGTCGTCTTAACCCCAGCGTCGAACGCAGATATCATGAGACGTTTGAGACGGTCTGTTTCCCATGGCGATCCGAAGACGATTTATAGTATGACGAAGAAGCTCGGGCAGGGGTGCGTTGTTCACTTCCTCATGAAGTTCTTTAACGTACGGTGTAAATAAAGTTGGTCGGGACCAGTGTACCAGGCCACGGAATCGACGACAGGGAGAATCGTCGTGATTGCGCAAAACGACATGTCGAATCAGCTAAAACACCTCTTCCTGAACCAGCTCTCGGTGATGAAGGAGTTGGATCATCCAAATATCATCAGCTTCATCGAGAGCTACCTTGTCGAACCCGAAGAGCTGTGGATTGTCACGGACTATGTGGAGGGCGGTGAGTTGGCGGGAATTATATTCATCAGGCCCACAATATGAACAATGAGTTTACTGAAAGGATACATGGGGTACTGTAAGGGTGGCTATCCTTACAGAGATCCTCAAGATACCAACAGAGGGCAATCTATTCATGTCAGGGCCATTTCTGGCACATGGCAGTGTCCATCAGGCCTTCAGCTTTTCTATTTTTATTTCAACACGGATGATTTGATTTCAATTGACGAGTTGTTCAAATCCAAGCAAGAAAAAACCCAATCCCTCAGAGTCCTGTGCAAGCTTGAACATTTCCTTTCAATCCAAAAGAAATATCCCCAATCCCTCAGAGTGCTGCGCCTGCTTGAACACTTCATGCTTTCATTCAGTTCAAAAGAAATATCCTCAATCCCTCAGAGTGCTGTGCCTGCTTGAATATTTCATTTCAATCCAAAAGAAATATCCTCAATCCCTCAGAGTGCTGCGCCTGCCTGAATATTTTATTTCAATCCAAAAGAAATATCCTCAATCCCCCGGAGTGCTGCACCTGCTTGACAACTTCATGCTTTCATTCAATTCAGAAGAAATATCCCCAATCCCTCAGAGTGCTGCGCCTGCTGATAGCCTCGGGTTTACTCAGATACTGTACAGTTGCTCCAAATAAGTGACCGGCCATGTAATTCCGGTGGCTTTAAATGTTTATAGGAGATCAAGACACACATGAAAATTGCAGAGAGAGGTAGATAGAGGTATATTACATTGCTAGTACTTTGTATGTCCACTGTTGGACGCAATAACAGCATCAACAATTCTCGACATTCTATCAATCAAAATGTCAGTGTCTGCTGATGGAATTGCATCCCATGCCTCGAATATTGCCTGCTGCAGCTCTACATAATTTGTAGGCTGGATGGGACGGGCACGGATGTGCATCTTGAGCACTAACCAGACTGGCTCGATGGGGCTGACATCTGGAAAGGACGGGGGATGGGGAGATTGGGGAAGGCAGAGATGTTCTCGTCAACCATCATGGAGCCAATGAACAATTTTTTCGAGGTGAGTCGAGTTGGCGACGGATAGTTTTTGGTTGCTAGTCTGCTCATTGACCTGGGAGGGTGGTGGCTGAAAGAAAGGAACGTGACCGCGTTGTCCAGTGACATCAGGCAGGGCCAGATGGATGACCGGTCACTTATTTGGAATAACTGTACCAAGTTGTAGGGGAGCAACGGTCACGGTAACGGGCCGCCCGTTGCGTTGCCTTTTTGTCGGGCGGTCACGATCACGATGAGGTTGGTTGCCTTCAAAAATCGTGACAAGACGAGGAAAATTCTGATTTTTTCTCCAGAGCTGCTGATGACGCTCTAATGACTCCAGTAGTTTCGTGGAACAGATTATCTACACCACAACTCCTTCAATCCAACTTGGGCTCCCTTGAAAATGCAACCAAAAAGACTTCATGGTTGCTTCTTCAGGAAACGGTCACGCTCACGGTGGTGCCTGTTGCCTCAAAAAATGGCAACACCTCTGTCACGATCCTCGGGGCGTTGCTCCCCTACAACTTGGTACAGTAGGCAGTTGGGTCTCGAATTTGGTCTCTTGAATGAAGGTATATATCCAAAAAATGACCCAGATATGTTCCCAAAAGTTACTGGGTGATTTCGTTCCTCACCGAATTCTTTTGTCGGGAGCCTCCCGAAACGGCAATAGTTGGCCTAGTCGGCCACGCACCTAAATCGTGGGTTTACACTCGTACCATGCACCTGATTGTCCCCAAAGCAATTAAAGTGATTCAACTACACGTCTCAACACTCTCAAACTGTATGTCTGAAGTATAGCTACCAGTATCAGATCCTTTCTGCGACAAGTATGGTGGCCAGAAGTGCGGTGTGAACGAAATGGTGTCTGCAATTTATGGAGCACAGTTTCACCGGGATTAAGGTCCGTATAACTCCACAAAAAATTTCTAAACATATTGATGCTCGATTATCACTGCTCTCATGCACACAACCCCTCGAACAAAATCCATCTTTCTGCCCAACTAAAATTGGATGATTGTGGGTGGTGGCCCTTCGTGAATGGCAAGGTGCGCAGATACGGGGCCATCGGCCAGTCGAGGGACAGGGTGAGATGTTATAAACATACCATAATCTGACCAACAGGTGGTCTGCCACCGAGCCTTCCTCAGTCCTTTTAACCCTCCCCAAAACGTCGAACAGGCTATGTCTGTGTTATTCTCTGGATATTCTGTACTGGCAAGCAGATGCGGACCATCCACTACCAAGCCCTTCCCACCTCGCTCTACACCCTTATTTCATTGTGCAACTTTCTCGGGAATGCAAAAGAGAACGAAATGCAACGACACCGGAAATGGCTCGGACCTGAGTCGAACAGGCAGTGTCTGCATTATTCTCTTCAACAATCAGAATGGAAAGCAGATGCAGACCCACCACTACCGAACCTTTCCGACCTTGCTCCGTACCCTTATTTTATTGTAGGAATTTCTGGGCGGAACGACAGAAAAAAAATATCGATGAAAACCACCCAAGGCTCGGGCCTGAGTCGAACAGGCTTTATCTGCATTATGCTCTGGAATCACACTTCATGGAAAGCAGATGCAGACCATCCACTATCGAGCCTTCCTACCTCCCTCTACACCAATGTTTTAACGTAGAATTTTCTGGGGGAATGAATGACAGGAGAAAAAAAAAGCGCAGCAAAACTTGAGCGAAACTGGCAATGACTCGGGTCGAACAGGCTTTGTCTGCATTATTAGCTTCTACAAGCAGCATATCAAATGGAAAGCAGATGCAGGCCATCTGCTACCGAGCCTCATCCACCTCGCTCTGCATCCTTATTTTATTTTCTGGGGCAATGAATGTCAGGAGAAAAAAAAGACAGGCGGAAGCACAATGGATCGGGCCTGAGTCGAACAGGCAATATCTGCATTATGTCAGGGAATCCACGAATGGAGTGCAGATGCAGACCCTCTGCTACCGAGCCTTCCTACCTCCCTTTCAATGTTCCTCACAAGCCAGAGTTTCAGAGCGAATGAAAAAGAAATGCGAGACAAAGATGTGATGCCTCGGGCCTGAGTCGAACAGGCTATGTCTGCATTAACCTCTAGAACTCACCCATAATGTGCAGATGTGTATCCCTCCACCGAGCCTTATCCACCTCGCTCCGTACCTCCCTTAAGACTCAGAATTTCCTGAGGGAATGGAAAAGGGAAAAAAGAAAGCCAATATCACACATAAAATGCAGAGCAGATGCAGGCTTCCGCTACCGAGCCTTCCTCTGTCCTTTTAAACCTCTCCAAACCTGAGAGTTCCAGGCCAGCCGGGGGGCGGAGGAACAAAAAGGAGGCAGAAAGATGTTTTATGGCTCGGACCCGAGTCGAACAGGCTTTGTCTGCATTACCCATTTTCACGCATATACATCTTGAATGGAAAGCAGATGCGGACCATCCGCTACCGAGCCTTATTCCCTTGCTTCGCACCTTCTATACCTAAGAATTGTGTGGAGAGAAACAAGAGCAAAAAAAGAGTATATCAGCAAACACCAATGGCTCGGGCCTGAGTCGAACAGGCATTGTCTGCATTATGCTCTGGAATCCCACTTCATGGAAACCAGATGCGGACCATCCGCTACCGAGCCGTATCCACCTGTCTCTGCACTTTCAATTTATTGTTGCATTTCTGAAGGGAATGAATGACAGGAGAGAAAAAAAAAAAGGAATAGAGCAGACAGATGGTTCGGGCCTGAGTCGAACAGGCTTTGTCTGGATTATCAGGTGTAGGGCTGCTAGTCAATTGAAAGCAGATGCAGACCATCCGCTACCGAGCCTTCCTACCTCCCTCTGCACTTTCAGTTTATTGCGGAATTTTCTCGGGAATGACCAAAAAGATAACTGGAGCGTGGAGATGGCTCGGGCCTGAGTCGAACAGGCAATGTCTGCATTATGCCCTGGACACATTTACGGAAAGCAGATGCGGTCCATCCGCTACCGAGCCTTATTCCTTCCCTCTGCACTTTCAGTTTATTGTAGGATTTCTGGTGGGAATGACAGGAGAAAAAAAAAGCGAAGAAAAATGCTATGGCTCGGGCCCGAGTCGAACAGGCTTTGTCTGCATCACTCTTATATAATCCCGTCGAATGGAAAGCAGATGCGGACCCTCCACTACCGAGCCTTTCTACCTCCCTCTGCACTCGTGTTTTATTGTAGAAATTTCTCGGGAATGAGAGGAGAAAAAAAGGAATAGAGGAGGTCGATGGCTCGGGCCTGTGTCGAACAGGCTTTATCTGCATTACCTTACAGAACACGAGAAATGGAAAGCAGATATGTACCCTCCACCGAACCTTTCCTCCCCTGCTCTGCACTTTCAGTTTATTGTGGAATTTCTAGAGCGAATGGCAAAAGGAAAAAGAAATGAGATAGGAAAGAGCGATGGCTCGGGCCTGAGTCGAACAGGCTTTGTCCTCAATACTTTGTAATAATCTACAATGGAAAGCAGATGCAGACCATCTGCTACCGAGCCTTTCCTACCTCCTTCTGCATCTTCATTTTATTGGAGGATTTCTGGGGGAATGGCAAAAATGGAAAGAAAAAAAATAGCGGTGAAACCTCACATGGCTTGGGCCTGAGTCGAACAGGCTGTGTCCGCAATACTTTGTAATAATACATGTAATGGAAAGCAGATGCGGACCGTCCGCTACCGAGCCTTTCTACCTCCTTTTAAATATTTCTCACCACCGAGAATTTCTAGTGGGACTGGCAAAAAGAAGAAAATGCCAACCAAACTAGAAATGGCTCGGGCCTGAGTCGAACAGGCATTGTCTGCATTACTCTTATATGACCCCGCCGAATGGAAAGCAGATGCGGACCATCCGCTACCGAGCCTTATTCCCTAGTTCTGCACTCTTGTTTTACTGTTGCATTTCTGGGGGAATGGCAAAAAGAAGAAAATGCTAACCAAACTAGAAATAGCTCGGGCCTGAGTCGAACAGGCTTTATCTGCATCAAAATGGATGCCAAAATTATTGAAGGCAGAATGCGGGCCCTCCGCTCCCGAGCCTTTCCTCCCCTGCTCTGCACTCTCATTTTATTGTAGGATTTCTGCAACGAAAAAAAAAGAGACATATGAAGAATGGAATGGCTCGGGCCTGAGTCGAACAGGCAGTGTCTGCATTATTGCATTGTAATGAAAACTGAATGGAAAGCAGATGCAGACCATCCGCTACCAAGCCTTATCTACCTCATTTCGCACCTCCCTTAAGACCCAGAATTTCCAGAGGGAATGACCAAAAGAAAGAAAAAAGACAGGGGGCAGAGGTATGGCTCGGGCCTGAGTCGAACAGGCTTTATCTGCATTACTCTTATAATGATGGTGAATGGAAAGCAGATGCGGACCGTCCGCTACCGAGCCTTTCTTCCCTCACTTCGTACGTCCTATACCTAAGAATTTATGGAGAGAAACAAGAGCAAAAAAAGAAGATGCGCAAGAGTTATGGCTCGGACCTGAGTCGAACAGGCATCATCTACATTATATCTGGGGATATATCAGTATCATGCAGATGCGGACCCTCCACCGAGTCTTCCTCCCTATCTCTGTACCCTTATTTTATTGTGGAACTATCTGGAATTAATGGCAGGAGAAAAAAAGAAGAAGCGAAACCAGCAATGACTCGGGCCTGAGTCGAACAGGCGTTGCCTGCATAATCAGGAATTGCTGCGCACAATGCAAAGCAGATGCGGACCATCCGCTACCGAGCCTTATCTACCTCTCTCTCCACTCTCATTTTTATTGTTACATTTCCGGGGGAGTGGCAAAAACGAAAATTCCAGTGAAACCAACTATGGCTCGGGCCTGAGTCGAACAGGCAGTGTCTGCACTATTCCTCCGGGCCTCAATAATGGAAAGCAGATGTGGACCCTCCACTACCAAGCCTTATCCACCTCGCTCTGCACCCTAGTTTTATAGTGGAATTTTCCGGGGGAATGAATGAGAGGAGAAGAAAAAAAAATGGAATGGAGCAGATGGATGCTCTGGCCTGCATCGAACAGGCAATGTCTACACTATCCCTCCTAAACATGTAATGGAAGCAGATGCAGACCCTCCACCGAGCCTTCCTCACCCTACTCTAACCCTCAGTTTATCGTAGAGTTTCCTGGGGGAACGTATGTCAGTAGAAAAAAAGAATTCAAGAGGCGATTTATGGCTCGGGCCTGAGTCGAACAGGCTGCCTGCATAATTGTGAATTGATTCAAACAAATCCATTGCAGATGCAGACCCTCTGCTACCGAGCCTTCTTCCTCCCGTTCCAGCCTTGAACCAATGGCCTGTTTTTGGAGCGTAGCTTTGAAGTAGCCTTGAACTACCTTGGAACCGTGATGGTGGTTTGCACTTGGAAACCGCGGATTTGAAGGTGGTGACTCTGGCAAACCGGAATTATTGACTGCGAGATGAAATAAAAAAGAAGTTGACGCCAGCCAGTAATGGCTCGGGCCTCAGTCGAACAGGTCTCTCTGACCTCATGCAACATTTCAGAGGCTAGAAGAATGCCGACCTCCACTACCGAGCTTGCCTCCTTGTGTTCTAGCCTCTACTGAATGGGTCAGTTTTCGGAGGCCAGTCACTGCCCCAGGCAGACTGCTGATCTTGCCTAGCTTAATTTTGGACCTGAAATTGCGGATTTGAATGAACATGGATTCTACTGGTAAACCAGAATTATTGACTGCGAGATGAGATAAAAAAGACGCAAGAGCGAGTAATGGCTCGGGCCTGAGTCGAACAGGCAGCATCTGCATCGAGATGGACGGCCAAATCATTGAGGGCAGATACGGACCCTCCACCGAGCCTTATCCACCTTGCTCTGTACCCTCAGTTTATTATAGAATTTCTTGGGGGGAATGGTAAAAAGAGTGTAACAACCCCACATGGCTCGGGCCTGAGTCGAACAGGCTTTATCTGCATTACTCTTATATAATCCCGTCGAATGGAAAGCAGATGCAGACCCTCTGCTACCGAGCCTTTCTACGTCTCTCTAAATGTTCCTCACAACTGAGAATTTCTAGAGGGACTGGCAAAAAGAAAAGAAAAATTGCGACAAAACCATTCATGGCTCGGGCCTGAGTCGAACAGGCTTTGTCTGTGTAATTACTGTGTTACGGAAGGTGACATATTGGGCAGATGTGGACCCTCCACTACCGAGCCTTTCCTCCCCTGCTCCATACTTTCATTATTCCCCAGAATTTTTAGAGCGGATGAAAGAGAAAGGGGGGAAAAATCCAACAATTAATGAACATGGCTCGGGCCTGAGTCGAACAGGCTTTGTCTGCATCAATATATTCAATATTGAGGGCAGATGCAGACCCTCCGCCACCAAGCGTTATTCCTCCCCTCTGTACCCTTATTTTATTGTGAAATTTCTAGAGCGAACGGTAAAATGAATAAAAAAGAAGTAATAGCGAGTAATGGCTCGGGCCAGAATCGAACAGGCATTATCTGCATTATTGCATTGTAACGACACCCGAATGGAAAGCAGATGCGGACCATCCGCTACCGAGCCTTCCTCCTCCCGTTCTAGCCTCAAATATATGGACCACTTTTCTGAGGCCAGCCTTGAACTGACTTGGAACGGCAGACTTCTGATAATGTACTCTCTTGCCTAGCTGAATGTTTGAGTTGAAATTTCAGGCAGGGGGGATCCACGAATTGGCAGTGCGGGATGTTAGGTTGGTTGTAACTGCAGCTTATTAGCCAAGGTAGTCATAGGGAATGCAATAACAAAAGAGATAGAGAGAAGACTCTGATGGCCCGGGCCTGTGTCCAATGTCTGCATTATTCTCTGGAATACACACTTCATGGAAAGCAGATGCAGACCCACTGCTACCGAGCCTTTCTACCTCTCTTTCAGTGTTCCTCACAAGCCAGAATTTCTAGAGGGACTGGTCAAAAGAAAAAAAGAGAGGCAGCAGACCTATGGCTCAGGCCTGAGTCGAACAGGCTTTATCTGCATTATTTGCTCACACACTTGTGATGGAGAGCAGATGCAGACCATCCGCTACCGAGCCTTATCTACCTACCTCTGCACTCGTGTTTTATTGTAGAATTTTCTGGGGAATGAAAAGGGAAAAAAATGGAGTAGAAAAGAGCGATGGCTCAGGCCTGAGGCGAACAGGTGATGTCTGCATTATTTTATTGCAACGACCGCCGAATGGAAAGCAGATGCGGGCTATCCACTACCGAGCCTTCCCATCCTGCTGTACACCTACATTATTCCACAGGATTTTTAGAGTGAATCACAAAAAAAGAGAAGAAAATTGAAAGACGATAGGCCTATGGCTCGGGCCTGAGTCAAACAGGCTATGTCTGCATTATTCCCTTCAACAATCAGAATGGAAAGCAGATACGGGCCCTCCGCTACCGAGCTTTTCCTCCCCTCCCCTGCACCAATGTTTCATTGCTGAATTTCCCGAGGGCACAAATGTCAAGATAAAACAGAGACAGCGCGGAGAAGGCATGGCTCGGGCCTGAATCTAACAGGCATTGTCTGCATCAAAACGGACAACGAAACCATTGAGGGCAGATGTGGACCATCCGCTACCGAGCCTTTCTCCCTCACTTCGTACCTTCTATACCTAAAAATATATGGAGAGAAACAAGAGCAAAAAAAGAAGATGCCCAAGAGTTATGGCTCGGACCTGAGTCGAACAGGCAGTGTCTGCATTATCCTCTGAAATACCTGATTAATGGAAAGCAGATGCGGACCATCCGCTACCGAGCCTTATTTACCTCCTTCTGCATTCTTATTTTATTGTAAAACTTTCTAGGGAATAGCAAAAGGAACAAAAAAGACAGGGGGCAGAGGTATGGTTCGGGCCTGAGTCGAACAAGCTTTATCTGCATTACTCTTACAATGACACTGAATGGGAAGCAGATGCGGACCCTCCACTACCGAGCCTTATCTACCTCCTTCTGCATTCTTATTTTATTGTAGAATTATCTGGAATTAATGGCAGGAGAAAAAAAAAGAGAAGCGAGACTGACAATGGCTCGGGCCTGAGTCGAACGGGCATTGTCTGCATTATCCCCTCATACACATGTAATGGAAGTAGATGCAGACCCTGCTACCGAGCCTTTCCTACCTCGCTTTGCGCCTCCCATAATTCATAATTTCCTGAGGTAATGACAAAAAAAAGAAGAAAAAAAAGAAAAAAAAAGAAAGGCAGCAGATCTATGGCTCGGGCCTGAGTCGAACAGGCTATGTCTGCACACTCGGGATTGACTTAAGCAATGCAAAGCAGATGTGGACCATCCACTACCAAGCCTTCTTAACTCCCTCTGCACCCTCATTTTATTGTGGAATTTCTGCAGCAAGAAAAAAGAGAGGTATGAAGAATGGAATGGCTCGGACCTGATTCGAACAGGCATTGTCTACATAGCTCCCTTGAACACAATGGATGGAAAGCAGATGCGGACCCTCCACCGAGCCGTATCCACCTCCATCTGCACCCTCAGTTTATTGTAGGATTGTGGGGCGATGAAAAAAAAGGAAAAGAGGAAACTTTCTATGGCTCAGGTCAGAGTTGAACAGGTCCACTACTGAGCCTTCCACCCTCACTCCGCACTTTCTATAACCTAAGAATTCTGTGGAGAGAAACAAGAGCAAAAAAAAAGAGGATGCCCATGAGCTATGGCTTGGGCCTGAGTCGAACAGGCAATGTCTGCATTATGCTCTGGCACACCACATAGAAAGCAGATGCGGACCCTCCGCTACCGAGCCTTTCTCCCTTGCTCTGTACCTCCCTTAAGACTCAGAATTTTCTCGGGAATGGCAAAAGGGGAAAAAAAAAGAGAAGCGAATTCGCAATGGCTCGGGCCCGAGTCGAACAGGCTATGTCTGCATACTGTGGATTGAATCGAGAATGTAAAGCAGATGCGGACCATCCACTACCGAGCCTTTCTCCCTTGCTCTGTACCTCCCTTAAGACTCAGAATTTCTGGGGAATGACAAAAAAGGAAAAATAAAAAACAGTTTCGAAAGCAGTAATGGCTCGGGCCCGAGTCGAACAGGCAATGTCTGCATTATGCTCTGGACACAATGATGGAAAGCGGATGCGGACCCTCCGCTACCGAGCCTTTCTCCCTTGCTCTGTACCCTGATTTTATTGTAGAATTTCTCGGGAATGAAAAGGCAAAAAAACTGGAGTCGAAACGAGCGATGGCTCGGGCCTGAGTCGAACAGGCATCATCTGCATTATTCCCTTCAACAATCAGAATGGAAAGCAGATGCGGACCATCCGCTACCAAGCCTTATTTACCACCTTCTACATTCTTATTTTATTGTGGAATTATCTGGAATTAATGGCAGGAGAAAAAAAAAGAGGAGTGAGACTGACAATGGCTCGGGCCTGAGTCGAACAGGTGATGTCTGCATCAATATTGGCTGGCATGAAATACTGGGCAGATGTGGACCATCCACTACCGAGCCTTTCTACCTCTCTCTACATGTTCCTCATAACCCAGAATTTTTGGAGAGAAAAAAAATAATCCCGCCTTTTAGCGTAACTTGGTCATACAAAAAATGTCTTGTATTTTTGGACGAGAACCCACCAGCGCCCGGATCCGCAGTCAATTTCCAAAGCCACTTGGAGTAATTTATTTCTGGAGACCCGATCAATACCGGTCGATGCGTGATTGACAAGCGGAATTGACACCACGGAAGATCGAGATCAGAGTTACATATCATAATCAATTTGGGATGGATGTAAGCTAAAAGTGGACGGGGGATGGAAGAAGATCTAGATGGGTACCGGTGTGAGGGTGCGGGGAAGTTTACAACTTACAGCCATGTCCTACCGTTAACGTTCCTCGAAGAGTCGCGGCACGGATGAAATTCATTTACCTCCTCCAATCGAACATTCATTTACGCCATTTTCTGTTCCCCGGTGGGAATTCGAAGTTGCGAAGCTTGATGGGGTAGATAGCAGCGGTGATTGAGAGGGCACGAGGCGTCACATGAGCGGGGTATGCAATAATAGGCTACGCCCAAAGGGGTTATGAGAGCGGAAAAGGGAATAGCAGCCGGGGCGTGGCCGGAAAGGGAAAGAGGTACTTTGGTTGTTACTACCCGCCACCGACACTGCTATGGACGACGTGCGGCACAACGACGCTGAGCAAGAACAAGAGCACGAACACGGGCTGAGGCATGCACGCGGGTTTCTGGGCTCGTTGCCCGTCTTACCTCTACCCTCGCCCGTACCTCTACCTCTACCTGGACATGAAGCAGGAGCACGACAAGGAAAAGCACACATCCTCTCCGCCCCCCAATTCGCTGCCCTCCACACCGCGCACATCCTCGCACACCCGCCCGACGGCGTGCTCTTTCCCTTCCTTCATGGATTGGAGGGCGACAACCACGCGCAGAATACGTTCTTCGAGGGGTCGCGTGGCGATGCAGCTGCGGGGAGGAGGAGGAGGAAGGCACCGCGGTTTAGGGGGCTCGTGTGGGTCGTGGCGGAGGAGGAGGAGGAGTTGCCTCGTACGACGGGTGGGGTCGGCGAGGAGGAGGGGGAGTACGATGATGAGGACGAGAGCGATGAAGAGGATGAGGAGGAGAGTGAGGAGGAGGACGAGCTGGTTGGGATGGACGTCGATGGGGACGGGGTACGCATTGCCGGGGATGGGGAGGAAGGCCCGCCGATAGCGACTCTGGAACAGCAAGAGGACGGCAAGCATATGCATCCCGTACACCATCGTCTGCAGGCGCTCCAGACGAGCGGGCTCCCGCCTGGGACGCCTAGTACCGCCGCTTCGGACGACAGCGAGCGGTTCTTTGCGGCGCAGACGCCGACAACGGCGCTGGGGGAGGACGTGCAGATGGAGATGTGAGTCCTTTTCTGTTCGCTTTCCTTTCTTCCTCTTCGCTTTCTTCGTTTCTTGTTGTTTTTCTATTCTCGTTCTACTGCGGGTCGACGTCGTCCTACCACTCCAGCGACTTTGCATCCATTCTCCATTCCCCTGCCTTCTACTTCTACTCCTGGGACGGCCTATCGCTCTCCCTGGGCTGCTTGGACTCGACGATGGAGTCGCTATGCTACTCCTATCCATCTCGCGGCCTTCGAGGTGGAATGGCGTCTGTGTGGGCATAGCGCAGACGCGGACGCCCCCTTCATGCTCGCGTGCTCGAGTGCAATCCCGTTCACGCTGTCACCATATCCTGCGTCTTCCGTCTTCTATGTCATGGGTGTAGCGCGGCGGCCTTCATATTCGCGTGCTCGCGAGCCCTGCCTGCATACCTTCGCTTTCATTCACGCTATCTGTCTCGCATATCCTCGCATGCATGCATGCGCCCATGCTCGCCCTCGATTGTGTTCTTCCTATCATCTTGTCTTTCTCTCGTGCTATTCGTACGATGTGGACGGCTTGCCAGGACTCTGGACTGGGCTCTCCTTGGTTCCTTGCTTGCGGGGATTTGGCGGTCTTAACTGGACTTGCCAGGACTCGATTGGGTGCGCACGAGCCCGAGTCCTCGTCCTGTCCATGCCTGTCTTCCCCATCTTTATTTATTTCTTCGCACTGGACTGCACCCTTCACTGCACGGACATAGAGAGGACGCTTTGCGCTCGTGTGCCTTATCCTGGTCCTTGTTCCATCTCCATTCTATTCCGGCGCTCAGACCATCATATCGTATTCCTTGCTACATCCCATCTTCGCGTCTTCGCCGTTCCACCGTCCCCATGCATCCCCTTCCCTTCTCCGCGCGCTCTTCCCGTACTCGAAGAGTCGAACATTTGGCAGTCGCTCGGGTAGAGCTCAAGGACCGTCTACGGAATGCTGAGGATGCGCAGTCTCTGCCGGGGCCGCTGTCCACCGCTGATTCATTGCTGGCGAAGGAAATTTTGGGATGGAGGAGATTCCTTGGGAAAAGAGCGTCTGCGATGCTCTCGATTATTGTTTTTTCGTGGCAGAGATGGTGTGGAAATAGCGGAAGTTGAGAAAGAACTATGTAACTAGAGAATCAAGGACGTGAAATATAACTAATCTTGACTCTTGTGGTCGAATTTGAGTCGAAATTTTTCTGAAGAGGTAAATCAGTGGCAGTGCAATCGATCAGTTGCCGCCAGCACGTTCGGTGACAAGAAACCTGTCCTGCTGGGCTCCCACACCGGAGAGTCGCAGGAACTCGTTCCACGCATCCAAACGCGCGCAGATCCTCTCGATTTTCAGGGCCAGAACCTGGACAAGCGACATAACCGCATACCACTATCACGCACTCTGGAGAAAGTGAGGTTTCAGTGGGGCCAAAAACATTTCGGAAATGGTTCATATCAGCTACAGAATAAGTAGACCTGAAAGTGGACCTGAAATCTGTGTTTCTGGTCGAGCTGAAATGCTAACATAAATGGGTCGTTTCGGGAACAGCATCTGAGGACCCGAAAATTCCCGTTTCTGGGTCCATATCCGCCTCACTGATACAGAAGCTGAAACGAAGGGTTTCAGGAGCAGTTTATTGTGTCCTGAAAACAATAGTATCTGCCACAATTTCGGGTGTTCCCATATACTATTGTTTCCAAGCCTCCCGAAATGGATCGGGCCGGGCCGGGCCGATGGGTTTCAGGCAGTCTGAAAACAATACTTTCGGGGGCACCCGAAACTGTAGCTTATATGATTCATTTGAGGTAACAATAAACTGCTCCTGAAATGTATGATTTCAGCAGGAGTTTCTGGAAGGCCAATATCGTTCCCAGTACAGGACATTTCAGGTGAATGAAAACTAATGCTGAAACGACTCGTTTCAGCATGCATTTCAATCCTTCAGAAACATTGCATTTTGGTCGCAATTTCAGGGCTATATATTTGCTTGCTGATGCGAATTATTTCAGAAATGTTTTTGGGAACCCCGAAACTTGACTTTTTGCGGAGTGACGATAGGTAAGTTAAGAATCCTTCTATAGTCGTATCTCTCGCAAGCTAATCGCGCAGAATCCAGTTTTACACATAGTCCGTCATGCTCAGTGCGCTTGCAGCAGATCGTGCTCGCGTCGCAGATATTGTAACCCAGATCTTGGATCTTGAGCGCACCCTTGCCGAATTGCGACTAGAGAAAACCACAGTGCAAGAGCGCCTCGATTCTTACAAGTACCCAGTCTTGCGGCTGCCGAACGAAATCGTATCCGAAATCTTCACACATTTCCTGCCAATCTACCCCCTTTGCCCACCAGTTGCCGGACTCCTCTCGCCCACTGTTCTGACCCACATTTGTCGCAAATGGCGAGAAATAGCACTAACCACGCCCGACCTCTGGAGGGCCATATCCTTATCCTATCTCATCGGATCACCAGCCGACCTACTCAGCAGATCTGGTTGTTGCCCACTTTCCATCGCCATGCATGATTATGACTATCGCAGATCCGAATATGTCTTCTCAACAGTCGTTGCTCACCGCGAACGGTGGGAGTACCTGCAACTTTACATTCTCTCCGATTTCCCCACTATTGAAGGGAGGCTGCCTCTGCTGCGCCACGTAAACTTGACGTTTGAAGACGACCGTCCCGTCATTATGTTCGATGAAGCACCTTTACTGCGCACAGCCATCCTCAACGCCATAGAACCCTTGAATGTCATCTTGCCTTGGGCACAATTGACTTCCCTGACTTTGGCCCAGCTTCATCCGGACAGATGTGCTCTAGTTTTGCAGCAGACTTCCAATCTGGTGCATTGCGAGCTGATCTTGTACGGTTGGGAGTACAATGACAGCAATCCACCGCCTGATGTCACGCTTCGATGCTTGGAGTCACTAACCTTGATAGAGTGGGGAAGGCCTTTGCCAGGCTATCTCAACACCTTCGTCGTGCCTGCGCTCCAGAGTCTTCGGGTCCCCGAGCCATGGCTTGAGCCCAATCCCATCGCTGCGCTCAGGTCATTTATTTCGAAATCGGGCTGCAAACTCCGGGAACTGCACCTCACAGATATACGCGAACCTGGAACCCCCTACCACAAGGCATTTCCCTTGATTGAGCAGGTCTCCCTCCATCCGATCGAATTATTCGGCCCCCGATCGCCACGGCGAGCAGCGCCAACTCCGAGTCCGAACTATAGTCCAATTCACAATTCCTCCGTGCGTTCTATTTCTTCTTCCCGCGATAAATTTCGCTCAATTTCATATAGGTTTGAACTAATGCATCCCGGGTCTATTTCACTGTCGCATCTTTCTCGCCCATGTTCCCGACTTTGCACATATTAAATTGGCCTTCTTTTCCTCAATACTTTTGCTCGATGATTCCTCTCCGTCTCGCGCCGCGCGTTCGAGA